GCCTAGAAAGAGCTTGATTAGCTGGTTCAGGTGTGTCTAATTGGGGTTGGAGCTAAACTATGCAGGACACCGGCCCTCCAGGACCGAGTTTGGGCGCCCCTGAGCTAAACTCTGCATGAAAGTGGATCTCAGGCCATGTCCACATGTACACGGGAGTTTTTCCTTCTTCCGTTTTAAAAAAAATCTTCATCCACATGAAAACGCAAACGCATGCTATGAAGCACTGTCAAGAGCATGCCAAACCTATAGGTGGCGATATAATCTCAACCGTAAAGCCATGTTGGCCAATCAGAAGCGTGAAAAAATTTCCAGTAGGCGGAGATAACAGCGCATGCTCCGACGTCACAAGCCAAAAACTCCGGTTTCGCTGTCTACACGATAATACTGCAACCGGAGTTTTTGAAAATCTTCACCCTGGCAGGCGTTTTCAAAAATGTTCGGTTTCAGTGAACTGGTGCTGCGTTTGCGTGTGGATGAACGGCCATCTCCGTCCACATGAAAACGCAAACACATGCTGTGAAGCACTGTCAAGAGCATTCCAAACCAACATGTGGCGATATAATCTCAACCGTAAAGCCATGTTGGCCAATCAGAAGCGTGAAAAAATTTCCAGTAGGCGGAGATAACAGCGCATGCTCCGACGTCACAAGCCAAAAACTCCGGTTTCGCTGTCTACACGATAATACTGCAACCGGAGTTTTTGAAAATCTTCACCCTGGCAGGCGTTTTCAAAAAAGTTCGGTTTCAATGACCTGGTGCTGCGTTTGCGTGTGGACGAATGGCCAAACCGCGTAGAAAAAGCTGCGGTTTTAAAAAATAACTGCGTTCGTGTGGAGAGGGCCTCAAGGGCCAGAGTTCAGATTCCCTGTGTTATGGTGTTTTGAGTCATAGTCACAAATAACTAATATGTACAAAATACTGTATAAGTACAATTACGAATGTCAATTTACAGCACCTTCATAAATTGAATACAAATATAAAAAGCAAAAACACACCTAATGCATGTTCTTTATGCATTTTGTAGAAGTAGAGTTAAAAATCTTGAAGTTTGAAGCTGAAGTTTTTGTAAAAAAAAAAAAAATGTACATCACCATTTTGCTCCAATCAAAGTGACTTGTACGCGTCTGATGTCATAATTACAACACTCTAAAAAATTATTTTTTAGCTCAACAAAAAAAAAATATTGCAACAGTTTGCATGAAGTTATGAGAAATTCAAATGAAATTATGTTAAACTATCAAACTATATTGAGTTAGAAGAACTTAATAATTTGTAACAAACATATATTTTTAAGTTGATTATTCCAATTAAATTAGCTCCAAGTAATGGATTTGTGGTCCTGGAACCAACTAATTTAGCATGTGTATTTAATAAACACATAAGATGTGACTTGTCACTGGCATTAGCGCAGTCATTGTAGTGTTTTCTTTTATGTGGTTTACTTTTCAGCACAATGGTAACCACAAAAACGTCAATAGAAACTCTTTCAATTGTTAAACATAACAGCATTAAACACTAGCAGGTCTTTCCCTTCATTAAAAACACTTAATTTCAACATTTACTCTCCTTATCCAGTCCTTCGCAAAGCATGCTGGGAACTACAAACCCACTAGCCAATTTTCAAAGTTAACAAGACAATTTTATTGAGTTACTATAAATTTTAATAAAAAAAATAAATAATAATAATCAATCAACAGACATTTTAAAAAGTTTAAATTGCACACAAAATTAATTAATGTAATTATCAACATTATTATGTCAACTGAACTTAAATAATGTTTGCATGGAATTGAGCCACAGGGATTGGGGCAACTGGCCAGAACACACTAGCAGCTACATATAAATGCTTTTTCAACCACCAAGGACACTATAGCAGTTCCAGAGCAATGCATTAAATAGCTCAGAACATCCTAGCAATTGCCTTGATACACGCTGGCAACTATTCAGATCACACTTGAACCATGGTGGCGAGTTTTGCACAGACAAAAACCACATTTTCTTCAGAATATGTCAAATCCAGCAATCAGACTACAGCAGATGATGAAGCACATGTAGAAATTATACTTTCCATTGCACAGGTGCAGCCCTCCATTGCTAGTCCTGGCCTCTAATTGATTCTTTCATGTGTGCTCATGTGTTCATTTGAGGTTGGGGGTTGATGTGTGTATTCTCAAGGCTATCTCAAATGCACACACACACACACACTTCTGCTGTAAGATGTGTGTGAGGCAGCAGCACGTTAAAACACGTCCGATGAGAGAATGCGTCCTGACATGCTCTGACTCATACAGCAGCAGCTTTATTAAAACAGAGACAGATAGAGAACGATAGTTTTTATTCCAGCAACAATCAATTACCCTTTCAAAATTGAGCATGATTACTATAGTTTCAGTTACCAAAAAATATATAGTTAGTGGTGTTTGCTTAGGCTATTGCTATTGTATTATACTTAACTGGTAACATGTTTTACTCCATTTGTGCTCCAGGCATAAATGATTCCTCAAATCATCTGACTTTTTGAGGAGAGGTGTTCTGTTACTTCTACTTTTTATTCGTTTTTTAGGCTGAATATTTGTGCCTATCCATTCTATTCTAACACAAAAGAAGATATCTCAGTTTCTTATATTAGATGTCTTTAACTACTATCTACTATGTCTAAAAACTAGAGTGGCAGGTAAGGTTAGTATGGTATGGTTAGGTTAAAGAGTAG